CCCCCCCCCCTTAAAAATGAATATATTTTTCCAGTGAAGGTAAATGACCATGTGGGTTTCCCAATTTTATCTGATTTGTGGTTGTTTTGGTAGATGGCTACCTAAAAAAGTAATTGGTTCCTCTTTTTTTAAATGCAAAATTTGTTTTTTTTTCTTTTAGGATTGTGACATTGCTTAAACTTCTATTGTATTTGTKTTTTGTACCAGTTTTCCCATTTTTAACTTCTTAAACCAATTTTTTTCTTAGCAACTTAGCATTTTTCTTAGCATTAATTATTTCACACAGTCTTGTTCTCAAAGTACAGAACAGAAAAGTGGTTATGCAACAGTATAAACACACCCAAGCACAAACAGCGCTTCTGTAATTCTGTAAATATTTCAATCAGAAAATGCATGTTTTCTGTTGTAGGGGAAGTCCCGTACTGGATTGTGCAGAACTCCTGGGGCACCACATGGGGAAACGAGGGTTATGTTTATATAAAAATMGGTGGTAATGTCTGTGGTAAGTTCATCACCTCTTATTGCGTGCATTTTTTTTTCCAAGCAACATTGCTATGTTTTAGTATACCCTCATGGATTAACCATCCTTCCCTTTTTAATTTTTTTGGTTTTCTTACCAGGTATCGCAGATTCCGTGGCCGCTGTTTTTCTTTGACAGTCACTGAAGTCGTCCTGCGTGTTTGTGTGAGTCCTGGCGTCTGAGTGCTTCCCAATGAAATAACCCGTTTGTCTTCAGTCTCACTTTGAATAATGCTTTTATTGAAATGTAACCATCTTGCATCACTACAACAAAATAAATCACTTCATATGTTTGCAAGTGTGTATATGTATAACAGATTAACAGAACAGTCCACTGCAAAACTGCAACAACATTTTCACTGTACAAAACATGTATCTTATTAAATACATAAAACAGGTACATGAGTATTAGGACTCAAAACCATCTATACAAAAATCCCATTAATTACTCTATAAATACATAAAATTATGTAATATGTATATATATATATAAGTATATATAGTACTATACAAAACATGGCTGTAGCAGCTATATTCTTATGTACACTATTTGGCTTCTATTTTCTCATATTTATGCATGGCAGGCAGGTTGGTTTTTACATTGACATTGATGTGGTCAGATTCTATCCTGTGTACATTTCCTTTTTCACCTGAGGTGCATCTTAGTTTTCTGTAACGGCCTCCGTGACGTATCGAGATGAAATAGGTTTCATTTATGTAAAATCCCAGTAGCATTGTCTCTTCCTTCAAGGTTTGATCGTTCCTCCCACAGATCTATTTGCCTGCAGGTCAAGTAATTTTCAGAAGCCGTCTGCAGCACTTTGTGCCTCCGAGTCAAGATTAGAGTAAAACAAGAAAAACGCCCGATTTGGCTCCGTGTAATATTTGGTGTCAGCAACAATTTCTGTTTATTTATTTCATATTTAAACTTTGTTTTGCTTTCCCTGCTTAACTAATATAAAAATCTGATTAGCAGACATTAATTCCCACCCTWATTAAGAGAAAACATTCAGGTCTTTCTCAACAGTCGCCCTTGCTTGTCTACTTTGCGCAGRTTGCTCTAACTTTTGGATAAATGTTTTAGAGCTGCCACATTTATTACAGCAAAGAGGAGCCAGGACAGCTGACGGAGAGGCGCACTAGTCCGAGTCTTCACTGCTGCCATAAGAGCTGTCACAGCATTCAGCCATGTAGAGGAAGGTGTGAATGTTGGGGTTGAGTTTCGGCACCCAGTGCCGGGGCACCAGGAATGTCGCCAGGTTAAACAGATCCACAAACACTTTGTAACGATCACTAAACGGAAAGAAAAACCGTGTCAATTRTGTTATGTGATGAAATTGCTGTAAAACATAAAAACACAGACTTTGAAAGACAGTAAAAGGGTCTTTTCATCTTGGTTATGCGGAACGCCGTCACCATCTTGTCACAAAGTGTTTGCAGGGTGAATAATGATCAGATTAAGGTTTTTATCAAACAGTACCTGACAGTAGATCTTAGGTAGTGGTAGCCAGATGAGCCCCCTGTCCCTGCTTTGCTGCCAATCATTCGGTGCACCATGCAAACATGATTGTCTAAAAACAGAGCAGAGAAAAACAGTTAAGAACTRTTGTTGTCGCCTTTTTTCTGTRAGTTTTTTAAAAGTTAACTCGCTTGTGTCACACTACTTTCGGAACACAAAAAAACTTTTATCTTCTGATTAGAGCGGTCGCAACAACCGTACACGGCACAGAATTGAGGCATTTTGACGCCAAATTAACCGAAGGAAACGGGATTACATTTGTGACCCATCACATCGAAACGAGGATTAAGTCCAAAAGTGGTATATGGAGAAAAAGGCAAATATAGTGTTTTGACTAAAATGTAAACAAAAATTGCATTTTGTCAAAATATAATGAATAAATGCCTTAATGTATCATTTGAATGAAGTGTCTGAAATATAATCATAACACAAAATTTTGAAGCACTTTTTTGAGCAGCTGATTTTGAAGAAAAACGCCTTAAAATTTTGAGATTTTCTCTGTGAGTTAGCAACGTTTTGTTTCTTTTTAGTTGGGAAATCTGAATATTCAAATTTAATTTGAAATTTCCTCTTTAGAAGGACATCAAATATTCCTCATTAAAATGACATAAAATTAGGATTCACACCAAATTTTTATGTATTATTGTAACCAACAAAACAAATTAAGTCATATATACGGATTTAATTATGATATCAGAATGATCCAGGTATCAAAATGTAGCTTTTAAAGCCAAGAATTAGAAAATGTAATTAGGTCATTTTGACCAAATTTGACTTACCGTATTTATTCATAATACGATCTCAAGTATAATACAATCATCATTTTTTAACTTAAAAAGCATAATCTAATTACTAATAACCCATGTATAACACTACCCCCCAATTTATGGATGATTTTTAGGGTAAAATTTCTAGTATTATACATGAATAAATACAGTAATCCTCATTTCGATACGATGGGTCACATTTACTTCCTGTCCCCCGTCTGCATTTTGTGACGTCGATCAGCAACCCAGCAGTATGAGCTGTAGTTTAGCTTTGCTTGTATAATTTAAGTTGGAAATCACTTTGGCACAAGTCGGATATAACTTGMTTTTTAACTCAACTCTCCTTCTTAGTTCAGCTTTAGGCAAGCTGTGATAAACCACTGGCGTCGTGTAAAGGTTTATTCAGCAATTCACACACAAGGCAAAACAAAAATACTCACATCTCCATTTTGTCATGAGCGTGTCGATGTCCATGAGGGATGTGAGCAGCTGGAAAGGGACCTGGAACCTCGGCTCTTCCCTTAAAAAGGTAAGAGATTTTCTTTTTTTAAATGTTTTACTGGTTTTAATAAAAGCACTTTAAATCACTTGAAAAATAAGAGCAGCTGTCACCTGTTCATCACCTCCAGCCCYGCAGTTTTGCACTAATTATCACTTTCCAGTAACTGCTGGATGACTTTGTCTGCTCTGGTGAAGCCTTAATTAGCCTCATGTGACATTCTGTCTTTACCACATATGTTTTATGAAACTACATGTTTAGACTGCTGAAGCTTCCTCAAAACCTCTTAACAACCACTGTAGGTGTCACTTGAACTTGATGGCTGACAGGGTTTCAGAACAGGGCTTGTGGTGTGGAAAATGTTATATAGGAGGAATTATTAAGCTTAAAACCCACAGTCAGGTGTTCTTAGGCTAAATGTTAGATGTCTTTTTAGAGGTGCCCACACTTCCCAGTTGTAAAAACGAATAAAACGTATTAAAGCACTGCAAATTGGGTATTTTTTGCAGGTGATGAAATGCTCAAAAATGTTACCTGTAGAAGTAGATCATCAAAGCACCTTGGAGAGCCTTATAAGAGAGCCGCCTTTCACCTGGTTGTCAAAAAAAGGCATTATTTCTAAAGTAAACTGACTTTTTTATTATTTGTACATATTTGAGTTTAAAGTCCACAAGAGAGATTTCGAGTGAGCGCCAAACAAACGCCGACAATTACAACATCCGACRAAACACCTTACCTTTGCTGACCAGGTGGTCGTGCCGTTTTTCATCAAACAGAGACACRAAGAGCTCCCTCTGTTTGGCGAGCTCAGCCATCAGCTCCTCCTTCTCCTCAGATTCTGGCATTTTCTATAAAAAAAWAATAATAATAATACCGGCAAACAAAAATACAAGTTCTGTCAATCATCCCAGCGCTCCAGGCGAAGCAGGGAAAGTTTGTTCTGGGAGCTCGAGTCATTTCTTACCTCGATTTTCTCCTTCTCCACATTCAGCCCATCAAATATATTGATTTTCAGCTGTTCCCAGAAATTGAATCCATCCACCTCCAAGCCAGGAGTTCTCTCCAGCCACTCCTGAAAGAACAGCCCAAAGGTTTTATGACATTTATACCCTCTTTAGTAGCACATTAGCTTCTCCAGGGCAGATGCAACAAAACACTAACCCTACGTTAATTACCCTAAACCGGGGAGAAAAATCAATAGCTTTGAGACGAACCTCCACCAGTTTCAGAAGTGTTGGCTCCTGTTCTGTTTTGAGAACCATCTCACTCTCCTGGCCTTTGAAATTGTCTCTGTAGTGCCGTCTGTTGTATGGAACCCTCAGGTTGTCGGGCACCCCGATTTTGTTCTCCAGGAGCCGAAACTGAAGACTTTGAAAGCCAGAGGCTGCAGACAGGTATTCTCTGTGCACACAAATAAGCATTAAGTTCACGTCACGCACGCCCCCTGAGTACACCAACATGAAGAGATGCCCCCCATAAAAATTTTAGCGATGAACCAGAGAAGGCTAGAAGTTATTCATGAGTTTACCTAAAGTCAAAAAAGTCCAAGGCTGTCATTGTTTCCAGAACTGCAAATTGGTCGACCAACAGCCTGAAGATCATTACAATCCTGTGGATGCGAGTGTTAACTTTGAGCATGTTGCGCTCATCTCTAACCTAAAGGGAAAGAAACAGTTGATGAATTGACTGCTAATTGCCGTAAAACCTTCAACTGCATCCTAAAAAAAATGAAGAAAACAGCTGTTCTTTAATTAGTTCTTATATTTTTATAATAATTTGTTGAACCTAATACTGTATGCTTCTCTTGCAGAGGTGAGAGGGTTATATAACTGCAGCTCCACTTTGAGTTCAGAACATGAGCAGAATTTAGATTGATTTATTTATTTTTTTCTCCTGACTGAACTTCAAAAACCAGGATGTCTGATATACATTTTTACTTTTAATCAGAAGAAGTAAAAGCTCGGCCTTTTCTTTGAGTAACGTTCAATCCTAAACACCTGTGATGTCGTGCTGGAAGATCTAAACTCGTTAGTGCAGACTGTGACTTACGTGTCCGCTGATGAAGATCTCTCGCACCGAGTCGAGCTCAAAAAGAATCTGTTTGAACCAGAGCTCGTAGGCTGGGATGAAAATCAAAGGTTTGATCATCATAAATACTTTAGTGCCATATTAGAAAGTTAACACAGTTAAAAGTCAAGGCTGGATTGGAATATCCTTCATTTCAGGTATGGATTTGTGAGTTCTGTAAAGTATAACGTTTTTTTTTAAGCTCTAATATTGGATTTTAAAAAGTATTTGGGTTTTAATGTTAAGACTCTGTGACAATCTTACCTTGATGGGTGACGATGAAGAGGTGCTCGTCATGGATCTTGTTGCCCTTTACTTCACTTTGTAACACCTGGGCTGTAGTTATTTTACTGAGCTGAGATGATATTAAAAAAAACCCTGAAATACCCATCTTTTAAAGGAAAAAAGCCAGTATTTTATTTTTTTTCCAGTTGTTTTCACCTGTAAATAGTCTCCATAGATAATCCCTCCATTGCTGGCCTTGTTTACCCCAGCCTGTGAGGAATCCTCGTCTTCCTCTGGAGGAGGTTTATTTTTGAATAACCTTGAAAACAAAAGGAAAAGGCCTATTGTTAATTAGTGCTTTCTTTTTCTTTCTTTCTTTCTTTCGTGAAATTAGTAATAGAACAGTTTTCCATTTAATTAACGTAGTGAGGAGAAAAAAAACAATAGTGCTAATTTAGCATCAAATTAAACGTACAAATGCCTCTTCTCGAAGTACGGACATTCGCTCATGACGCATCCAAATCGGTTGCAGCACAAAAACTTCTTCTTAGGGGACTGTAGTTTACTAAAACTGTCTTCTATGTGATTCACGTTTTTAAAGATTCAACTTATCCAATCAGTCATGAGCGTGCAGACACCATCCGGCCCACCTCTGTTTGTCTCATGTGATCCCTGTTTACATTGGGCTGGGACTACTTTCTGGACTTTGTTTCACCGGGTTTAGAGAAAGATCAGCAGGAACCGTATTCAAATTAATATAAAAAAGTATACATTTTTAAAAAGTAAATCACTGAATATTTAGTTTACTGGAAGTTACCAAACTATCTGCACTACACTAATATTCGAACTGAGAGGGTTTGTACTATTTCTGTCCTGATCGTAGGTTAGTTTCACCATTTGCACTCTGGGTACCAACATGAACTTGTTACATAAGAGAGAGGGAAGAACACTGTTTTGTCATATTTGTTGACATGACCTGCCAGTGTGCACCGATGTGTACTTTAACAATGTTTCAGCTTTTTTTTCCCCCATGCCAGAAATGACAAAACTTGTTATTTTTTTATCATTTGAAAAGCTCATGCTTTAGTTGTCTTCCATTGGTAAATTCTGGACGTATTTTTGCGAGACTCTGGAAATTTCTGTTGCCAGTCTGTAGGTCAATCACCCGTAAATATTTGCGGTTTGGTTAATATTTTCTTCGGCTTGTCGTTGACACTGATCAGTTCTAATGTTCTGAGAATGCTGCTTACTGTTCTGAAAGAAAACACTATTTTTGTATTAATAAAAAAAAGGGTTAATTTTACATACGTACTCTCAAGGGCGTTGCAGTCCACAGCTTGTCGAAAGCTGAAAAATAAAATGTCAGTCTTGTTAGACCTGCAGGATCAGCCGCCTTACAAAGTTCATGGGAAGTATTTGTTTGTTTTCAGTCACAGGTGGCACATTCTGCTGGAAAAAATAATGACAGGCTTGTTGCTCCCCACCACCTGAGCCACACTGTCAGTCACAACAAGCCAGACTCCTTTTGAAGAGCAGTTCAGCCAATTTCATCAGTGGAAAACTAAGAAGCCATGGTCCACTCTCTAAATCTCCCAGATCATTAGCTTTGTTTTTATTTTTTTTTTCCCTCTCTTTGTGGACTTATCAAGTCGAGTCCCATCAGTGTGTGCAGCGGTCCTAAGAAGATCAGAGGGATGATAATAAGCATCTATTTCTGAACTGGGACAAGGTACGAGCCGAGCATAAGGAGCAGCAGCAGCCCCAAAATGCTTTGTTCTTGTTCCCATTTAGCCAGGGTAAACAGGACTCTAGTGGATGAGGGGTTATGAATGATATAGTCTTTGAGAAGACATGAAACTATCGCTGTAGATTTTCCCGAGATTTAATAAACCTGTCCGTCAGATGAGTGGACACGGGTGTCATTATGAACCGTCTCCAAGGTCTGAGTATGTCTGTGATCAAAAGTAAGCCGGGCTGTGTTCTGTTCTTTTTCAGCCATGCGGACCCCCAACTAGGAAAGTTTGCTGGTGTGACCGTCTGCTTACACTTTTCCTTGAACTCTGCAATCAGAGTTTCCTGCTGCAGGGATGTTTTTATTATCATTATTATTATTTAATCAAGCAACATCTGCTTTGCCATGAGCAATGATCTGTGATCTTAATATAACTTTTAATCATTTCCATATCTTATCCCATCATCCTAAATGTCAGCATTCTTATCACCGAAGTGTTTAAAATACGATTAATGTGACATTAAAACAAAACAAATAAATCAGCATGTAACTAGCAGGGAGGTTTTTTTTTCCTGAAACTCAGCAGTAATCATCTCAAACGAGATTGTTATACACTAAAAATAGTCTGCGTTTATTTTAAAAGGTCGTCTGTAAAGCACACTATATATATCAAACTATTTTGGATTTACTGTATTTTATTATATTTTTCTCATAGGTATGTGGGTGTGTGGTAGTTAACGCTGACAACCTCTCAGCAAGAAAATACTTAGAGTTTCGCCCGAGGCTTTTTGTGTTCACCCTGTRCTCATGGAGTTTTTCTCTCTGAAACTTCCTGTGAAACATGAATTGTACAGACAATGGACAATGAATAACACCCTAAACAAAACTCTGTTGGAACTAGTGCATATATTTCATAGTTAATTGTGTTTTTTTATTTTTTATTTTTTTATTTTTTTGCAAATGCTTGGAGGTAAATATCAAGTTGCCATGTGGGGAACAAAGACTAATAAAAATCTGTTTTGTGAAGAAATTAAAAATAATGAATCTGTGGTCACAATGGAATAAGAGTCTGATTGTCTTTTCTGAACATCTGTTGTTCACACTGTCTGAGCRTTTTGGGCAAATTTCTACCAGTTTTGTTTTGCATTTTGACACCTTTGCGCAAAAACACTTGCAAGTAAAAGTAGTGGGTGTATCTCTTACAATGAATCTTTAACTAAAGTTTCCTCCCTTTCTTAAGAAGGAAAGTGAAAACACTCAAACACTATCATAAATTTTAAAAAGTTCCACAAAAAAATTGTTAAAATAAATAGGGGGAGGGGCATTTTTCTGTTTCACTTACACCTCTGAATTTAAATTTGTCTCAGCTTGTCTGATTCTGTGCCAAAGAGTGGATGTACAAGCTGTTGCGTGAAAGCACGTAAAAGATTAATAATGAAATCTTGGTCACATTGTGTGCTTCTTAAAAACTAATAACATTCGATGCACAAAAAACAAACAAAAAAAAAACAAGTGATGTGATAAAAGTCATCAAAAAGGAGACAAATTTGACAACTTGTTAAATTCCATGTCTTACATCCCACATAGAAGTTCAATGTTTTGACAGTTCTGACCTTTATTAAATCCAGTATTTTTACCATTCTAAATTTAAAATGAACAAAATGCACCCAAAGTGTTTACCACAAACAGAGTCTAGATCAGGGATGTCAAACTCATTTTTCACCGAGGGCCACATGAGCGTCATGGTGGCCCTCGAACGGCCACTTTTAATGAACTTTGACGTTTCATGTTTAACTTTGACTAAAAAGAGTTTTAACACGTCCTCTTTTAAACACTGATAAGAACTAAGTGTACGACTGACTAAATCTGAAATAAATACAGAAATATTATTTAGTTTATGGTTGATGCTGACTTTAAACAGCTTATTTTCAGACATTAGTACTGAGCTATCCAACTAAACTGCTCAGTTACTTAAAGCCAACAGCTCAGGGACAGGAATTTATTTAATTTTTATTAAATTTATTTTGT